AGAAAAAAATTCTATAAGCGTATGCGTCTGATGTTAAATACCGAGTTGAATACACAGAACAGAATATCAGCCATAAACATTCTGTCCATTTGGCGCAATACAGCTTCAACATCTTTAGCTGGACTATAATTGACATTAAGCAAATGAATGTCAAAATGAGAGAATTTTCTAACTTGCCACCACATGCATCTTCCTAAGGCTCGTCTGTATGTATCCTGATCCGAAGGAGGCAGAAGATTAGTTCAACTAGAACTCTCTTTCAAAACTATACCCGTACCAAACAAGCTGGTGTAAACAAAACCCATATCCATCAGTGGTTACGTAGTGAAGGGTTAAAATCTGAAACCGAATATTTTATTCTTGCTGCACAGGACCAATGAAGGAAACTGCAAGAAACTGGTATGAACATGACTCAGATCCAGTTATAGAAATGGGATATGTAACAATTTTATGGGACTTTACAATACACACAGATAGAACAATCAAAGTTAATAGGCCAGACATCGTAATCAAAAACCACAGGAATAGAAAAAAAAAACTATCAAAATACAAGTTTCTTGAAGTGGAACTCTCAAAGATGAGGCACATGAGGACTTCAGTAATTCTAGTTGTAGTTGGAGCCCTCAGATTGATTAGAAAATACTCAGATAACCTTTTTGAAGGGATTCCTGGTAGTCCATCTCTTAAAGAAATGTACTCACAAGTACAGCTCACATATTACGAAGAGCTTTATCTATGTCAAATATGTGTGATCTTAGTTTTTTGTTGTTTTTTTTACAAAAATGATCAGTTGAATAATAATAACAATAATAATAATAACAATAATAATAATAATAATTGTTGTTGTTGTTTCTTGTTACTATTATTAAACAAAATGTTTCCAATAATTTCACTGTTCCAATAAGAATAGTAAAACTAGTCAGTCAGTCTCTTATGTGCTATGCGTTATACACGCTTAGGCGATCATATATCTTTCGATACATGACTGATGAAACAGATTTTTTCCCGCAGTAGATTGCCATTTCTTTCTGCCGTACACCAGTTGCCATCCATGGCTATAGAACCCAGTCTGTCCTGCTATTTATCCATAGCTGGGGGGAGGGAGACTGAGGGAAGAAAAGAATTCATACCTTTCACAAGGGTATTAGGACGTAAGCGAATCTAATGGATTCAACTGGAATTCGAATTCGGCTCTCCGATTCCTCAATCCGATTCGTTATCTTTACTCCACCGTAGGAATGATTTAAATAAATAATTATACGCATATTAAAAAAAAAAATCACAAGTAACTTTTCGCTGTCTGAGATAAAAATGATTGTTCCCATATATGTCACTTATATACCACCACACCATTCAAAAAAAAAAAAAATCTATATACTTTTTTTTTTTATTTAACATTTTCTCGGTATGTGTGCCTTTAATTTCTTTCTATTTTTGAATTTTCATGTCCCGGTTTCCAGGTTTCCGATATTAAATGGTCATCGCTGAAGACTTAGCGATAACAAATTCCCTCGGGTATGCAGCACCTTTCGCACTATCCTTGCAGATATTTAAAGTTTTTTTTTTATTAGGTTGTTTATTATTATGGATACGGTTGATTTGTCCTCACATTAGTGATAATGATTTTAACTCCTTTCAGTATTTTGGCTCTGTACACAGTATAATAGATTATTTTAGATATAGTATATTAAGGTATAATAAATGATTTAGTTACAGTATATTATATGATAGAGTATAATAAATGATTTTTTAGTATATTATATGATAGAGTATAATATATGATAGAGTATAATAGATGATTTAGTTACAGTATATTATATGATAGAGTATAATAGATGATTTAGTTAGAGTATATTATATGATAGAGTATAATAAATGATTTAGTTACAGTATATTATATGATAGAGTATAATAAATGATTTAGTTACAGTATATTATATGATAGAGTATAATAGATGATTTAGTTACAGTATATTATATGATAGAGTGTAATAAATGAAGTAGGTACAGTATATTATATGATAGAGTATAATAAATGATTTAGTTACAGTATAATATATAACACGACTGGGGTCGGCAACCTTTCGCTATGTACGACTTGTGGTTTTAATTCACCAACAGTGTAATTTTATACAAGTCAAGGTCAATATACCTGCTCTACAATATATTTTATATAGTAATATATAGTATATATACTTCAGTATATGTTAAAAGTAAAACAGCTAAATATCTTCTTTGTGTTGTAGTAGTTATTGGTTCGGACTTCGTGATGTCATTGGAAATTGCTTGGTGTTCCACGTGTGGTACACGTACATTAGGTTGCCGACCCCTGAATATATGATTTTAGATAGAGTATAATATTTGATACAGTATAATAGATAATTTAGATACAGTATAATACAATATAATATATGATACAGTATAATAGATGATTTTACATACAGTATAATGTACGATTCGGTATAATAAATGATTTTAGATAGAGTATAATATATGATACAGTGTAATAGATGATTTAGGTACAGTATAATAGATGATTTTACATACAGTATAATATATGATACAGTATAATAGATGTTTTAGATACAGTATATTATATGATAGTGCAAATCCTTAGGAATTAAGGAAGGAGACAGAATACAACATTCAATTATGAAGAAAAAGATCCGAAAAGAATATTATAGGAGAGTGTATCTGATAGTAGAAAGTGAACTTAATAGGACAAATAAAATGAAGGCTATCAACACCTTAGCTATACCCGTAGTAACATACAGATTCAACATTATTAAATGGAAGTTGAATGACATTAAAAGATTGGACGCCAAGACCAGAAAAATGCTTACCCAAATGAGGATGTACCACATGAATTCAGATGTTGATAGGCTGTGCATACCAAGAGCTCTAGGAGGCCGAGGTCTAATCCAACTTGAATTAATTCTAAAAATTAGATTAATCGGATTGTAAGCATATCTCACAAAAATCAATGACCCTCTCCAACAAATAGTAAAACACCAAATCCACTCTATCAACAAAGAAGCCGTACTCTTCAAGAAACAGTATAATATACCTGAAATCCTATCAACAAAAAAAAAAAAAAAAAACGAAGCGAATACCATCTATGCCAAACGAATAAAGCAAAAGGCAAAAACAACTTGGCCAAATGAAATTACAAAACTAAAAGGACAAGGCGTTGCATGGCAAATACATAGAAAGAATGAAAGAAGCAGATATGGGCCATCAGAAAACACATCAGTTGCTGAGGACAACTGGACTGAAAACTGAAAAAGAAGACCTAATTATTGCAGCTCAGGTCTAAAGGCTTGCAACCAGATCCTATCACTGTCACATAATCAAGGATGGAACTTGAAATGCGATGAAACTGTCGACCATATTATCTCAGGATATCCAGAACTGGCAATAAATGAATATGCCCACAGACATAACAAGATATGTGCACTAGAAGATATGCAAGAAGTACAAAATCAAAACCACTGAGAAATGATATAAGCACCAACCAGACACAGTTACCCAAAATAACAATGAAACTATCCTCTGGGACATGCCAATTCAAACTAACAGGGAAATAAAAGCCAACAGACCTGATATTAGCATAAAAAACAAGAAATTCAGGAAGTGTATGCTTATTGACATAACAATTCCATCTGAGAGAAACACCTCCATAAAAATTATCGAGAAATTGTCCAAATACAAGGACCTGGATATCGAGATTAACAGAATGTGGGGAATGAAGACTGAGGTTGTACCAATAGTAATCGGAGCTCTGGGCCTCGTGAGAAAAGGAATGAACAATTTTACTAATAGTGTCCCAGGTAACATCAACATACAAGTTGCCCAGAAGATCGCCCTACTAGGAACATCTCATATACTAAGAAAATTGCTATCAGTTAAATGACAATTCTCATATAGGGCCTAAGGACCATAGTTTGGACCCGGCTCTACAAGATACAAATCAGGAAATATAACATGCACAAATAATAATAATAATAATAATAATAATAATAATAATAATAATAATAATAATAATAAGTAGAAGAAGAAGAAGAAGAAAAGAAAAAAGATTTAATGTTATAGATGGCATATTGAGCTTCAAATATTTACACTCCATTTTTACTTTTTTGACGTGCTGTTCTTTTAATCAATAATAATAATAATAATAATAATAATAATAATAATAATAATAATAATCTATATGAATAAAGCATAGTGTACGTGTGTCCATCCGTCCGTTGGTTTTTCTATCTCGACGAAACTGAAGTAACACGCGATTAAATATTAAATACCTCATTAAAGTGAAATTTAACTATCGAACAGAATGAAAGATAAAAAAAAAATCTTTATTAAAGGCTTAACTTTAATTGCGCTTTTCATCGCAATGACAATTGATATCGTCTAATTATCCGTAATTAAAACTTAAGCGGGGCACGGTACGTTGCTCATATATATATGTATTTTTTTTCTTTTGTGACATATTCGAAATATTAAATAATTCGGGTTTCCTAATGCCATTTTAAGAGTGACTTTATATGAAGGGATCATAAAAAATGATGATTTTAAAAGAAAATAAAAATCGCACGCAAAATAAATGTAAAAAATAGTGAGATCGGTTGCGTATATGAAGAAAGATTATGCCGACATAAAGTGTCAAATAAATATAAAATAATTTTATTATTTCTAAATTCTTATAACTCTTACGGGCATAGAACGATGAAGGTAAAAGGCTGAAAGCCTAATAGCCGTCCTCAGGAGCTAGCCTAAAGTGCCCCCGAAGGGCGGCTTCTAGGATAATAATAATAATAATAATAATAATAATAATAATAATAAAGAGAAGAGATGCAATAATACAAAATACCGTAACTGCAATAATATTAATGATGATGATTTTATTCAATCCCCTGTTCATTATTATGATTACTGATGATTTATGTTTAGCAAGATTATTCACTGCTACAGTAGTTTGAAAAATAATGCAAGCTATAGTCATGTATTGTTTTTGCATTTCTTTCTTTCTTTATTTATTTCTTTCTACTCTTTTCTTTTCTTTCTTTCTTTCTTTCTTTCTTTCTTTCTTTCTTTCTTTCTACTCTTTTCTTTTCTTTCTTTCTTTCTTTCTTTCTTTCCATTTATTTCTTCTTATTTTCACTCTACAAGATGCAAGTAACATCATGAGGAGAAACAGCAGCATCATAGTCAGTCAGCCAGGACCAACCCTCATCAAATTCAAGGGACAGTGTCCGGCCAACGCTGTCTCATCGCAACACAGCCACTCTCCGTTTGAACCACAGAAATCACCTGACATCTCTAAGCTAAAGTGTGCTCCGCCTATTGTTGGCCGACAGCTGTACGTGAACCAAAGTCTATTAGAAACTCAAAGACTGTCAATCCTTATCTCAATGCCGCCGTTAATATCCCGTGTGGCGTTCCTGCCCCAAGGCCACGCTAATGAGAACTAGAACGATTAATTTGTCTCCCTTTTCAACCATGTCGAGGGGTCAGTCACTTTCCGCTTACCAAAATGCTCCTACCCTGAAACTGTTAAATCGTCGTAGGCATTAAAGGAAATTGTAGAGCATTATAGTGTTAGACCACATTTCCGAAGCTCCAGTTGTGGAGTGGCGTATAGACGTGGCTGCTGTCTCCTGTCGGAGTGAGGACCTGTGCATTGATAAAGATTCCGTTATCTGTTGATTATACACGTAATCAGACAGCTGTCTGGCAGAAAGGAAAGAAATTATATCACGAAAACGTCGTTGCCGTTAGTTTCCGTCCCTTTCTGATCAAAAGTATTGCTGTGTTGGAATACCAAATAGTAAAGTCTGTCGCAGTGATTGGTTTCTTATTTATTTATAATTTGTCGGTAGGAATATTTGCTTATATGTTAGTGTTCTTCACTCTTACACAAGAAATTTGCTGTTCCATATAAAATATAATTTGACACTAGCAGCAGAATTATGGTTTACATGATAATATTTCATACAGGTTTTAGCTGATCATTCAATATTATGAATGCCTAAGTTAGTATAATCAAATAAATATCTATTACAAATACCTTTCTTTTTTTTTTTGTTTTTGTTTGAATAATGGTAAAGGTGCATTTCTTAACATTTGAAGCATCTGTCAATGAATGGTTGTTATACAAGTTTCTACTGCCATTACTATAGTAAGGCATTGGGTGAAAGTTAGTAAGATTTGCTTGCTGAAACATTGCAGCCGAGTTTGTTCATTACTAGGTGCACTGTAAAATTCGACATTAAATAACTAGTCACATGACGTTGTAAAATCAAGCAGTCTATTGGTAGATTTTGTTAAAACATCTAGCCATATTGATAAAATATCTATCTATCTATCTATCTATCTATCTATCTATCTATCTATCTATCTATCTATCTCAGTGTGTTCATATCTATCTCAGTCTGTTCATATCTATCTATCTATCTATCTATCTATCTATCTATCTATCTATCTATCTATCTATCTCAGTGTGTTCATATCTATTTCAGTCTGTTCATATCTATCTATCTATCTATCTATCTATCTATCTATCTATCTATCTATCTGTGTGCGCATCTGTGTGTATGTCTGTCTGTCTCTTTATCTATAAATACATGCACACACACACACATATACATACATCTACATATATATATATATATATATATATATATATATATATATATATATATATATATTTATATGCATCTGAAAATGTATATTTATGTATTAGAACACAGAGAATTACTCTATCTCAGTGTGTTCATAAAGTCTGTTATATTTATCTATCTATCTATCTATCTATCTATCTATCTATCTATCTATCTATCTATCTCAGTCTGTATCTCAGTCTATCTATCTCAGTCTGTTCATATCTATCTTCTATCTATCTATCTATCTATCTATCTATCTATCTATCTATCTATCTATCTCAGTGTGTTCATATCTATCTCAGTCTGTTCATATCTATCTATCTCATCTATCTATCTATCATCTAGCTATCTCAGTATGTTCTATCTATCTCAGTGTGTTCATATCTATCTCAGTCTGTTCATATCTATCTATCTATCTATCTATCTATCTATCTATCTATCTATCTATCTATCTATCTCAGTCTGTTCATATCTATCTCAGTCTGTTCATATCTATCTCAGTCTGTTCATATCTATCTATCTATCTATCTATCTATCTATCTATCTATCTATCTATCTATCTAGCTATCTATCTCAGTGTGTTCATATCTATCTCAGTCTGTTCATATCTATCTATCTATCTATCTATCTATCTATCTAGCTAGCTAGCTAGCTATCTAGCTATCTATCTCAGTGTGTTCATATCTATCTCAGTCTGTTCATATCTATCTATCTATCTATCTATCTATCTATCTATCTATCTATCTATCTATCTATCTATCTATCTATCTCAGTGTGTTCATATCTATCTCAGTCTGTTCATATCTATCTATCTATCTATCTATCTATCTATCTATCTATCTATCTATCTATCTATCTATCTATCTATCTATCTCGATGGCGCCTCGCTGTTCAGTAATAGTTATCAACGCTAGTTTCGTTGACCATTACTATTGACTTGAAACTTACTTTCAAATGTGCCTATCAGTCTGACTTCAGTAAAACTCAACAACAAAAGACAGGAAGTTGAGAAAATTTAGATCGCTCACATCCTGAAATAATACGTATCCACCGTTCTATCAGCAGTAGCATTCATACTGGGGTAAATACAGTAAACGAAATTATTTAACAAAAATATGTCTTCGATCCGTTTATGTAGGAAAATATATTTCAGAGTATAAATATATATTAAAAATTCTTAATTCGTGTGTGCTGTTACATATATTCAGGAGTTTCATCATAAATGGATGACTATATATATATTATATATTGTCACAAAAGTTAATGATAAAGTGGAAAAAATTTCCGTGTGATACGTTACGTCCTTTAGGAAGAAGAAAAAGATTAATAATAAGAAGAACTCGGATATCGATTGGCATTACAGATTTTTTTTCAATACATTAGCATCCTGATCAACAGCCTCCCTTTCATTACCAAATCTGTCTTCTCATATTGGGTATTCATATAATTATTTTGTCATCAGAAATATGGTTTCACTAACATCATTCACAGTTTGGAAGTTATGAGTAAACTTCACAAATTTATTTTTTTCATTTTCTGGAAAATATATAAGATATTCCGCACTAAATTCTGGGATGAAGAGTTATCATTATTTACGTTATTTACACGTTGACTAATATCCTCATCTTTGTTGATATTATATTTGTTTTTCCTAGATTCTATAGAAATGGCGCGAACAATAGTCCAGTAGTAATAAATAAGAACTCAATGAGATATCACTAGACATTTTCAACGGATCGAGAACAATCTACTCTCGTAGCCTAAATAAAGGTTTCACTTCAAAATTCCGTGAAGAGAAGGAAGCATTTGATAAAAGCCATAAGGCAGAACAGTTGAAACATAATGATAAAAACAACAAAGATGTGGATAATAAGCCGCAATTAAATAAGGTAAATTTTACTGGACTTCTTTTGTCATAACCCATAAAATAGTTGGTTTTTTTTTTCTATCAAGCTTTAAAATTTTCTACGGAGGTGAAGGAAATTGCACTAATGACTAAAATTATGCATGTTACTAACATTTGGCTCACTACCATCACTGAACATACCAAATCGAAGTTTAAAAAAAAAAAAAAATTTTAATTCTGTTATTGTAACACCTGTTTGAAATATATGCGATAGTAGACACGCACAAACTTTGTAGTAATTTCGGTCGGAGTAATAAATAACTTGCTATTTCAAAAAAGAAATTGCTGAAATTTTTCCACAGTGCAATCTTGATGTGACAAATAAAAAAATACAGATTTATTATGTCCAGTATGAATTTTAATATGAATTTGAAGCGATTCAAACTCTTTACAACTAAATTCTGCATCATGATCGCTTCTAATATGTTTTATGGATCAATATCAGCGATACGATTATTGGTGACTAGCAGTAGAGCCCGGCGTTGCCCGGGGATGTAACAGTAAGAGATAGATCAAGTATCGACCATCATAAAGACTGAAAAATAAAATTGACAAAGATTATTGTTTAAGGTTGACGGACATGCATGTCTTAATTAGTTTTTTTTTTTTTTTACGAATTGGTCAAACCCAAACTCAAACAAAAACATTGTTTTCAATCGTTATGAGTCTACCGATTGAATAAAATTTTATTATAAACAATTGTCTTGTAAATAGAATTTTTAAAGCATTCTGAATCTAGAAATAAAGAAAAAAGTGTGCAAGACAATAAGTAACACTACCTGCCAAAAAAAAGTGAAGTTTTGTTGAAATCGGTTGAAAAATGTAGGAAATCCGATTCCATATATAAACGAACACACACACACACACACACACACACACACACACACACACACACACACACACACACACACACACACACAAACAACCTGGGTTTTTATAATAAGTATAACTCGATATGAGTTGTCCCCCTTTCATTCTCGCGATGCCTCTTAATCGTGTTTTCAAATTGATTTCGTGCAAAAACAATTGTGCTTTTCTGATTTTTGGCACTATCAAAACCACCGCAAGGTAATTTTACGTAGTCCTGTGAAGTTTTGTTGAAATCAGTTGAAAAATGTAGGAAATCCGATCCAATATATAAACGTACAGACACACACACACACACACACACACACACACACACACACACACACACACACACACACACACACAACCTGGGTTTTATAATAAGTATGATTCGTAGGTTATCAAACTATTATTATCGGCAAAGGTAACAATAGCAACATGCACTAAACTTATGAAAATGTGTTGATGGCATGTTTAGGAAAAACAAAAACAAAAAACACTGAAAGAACGAAAGACAAGTTATCGGATGGAGGATAAAAGAAAGAGTTAACCCTCACACGGTGGGGATATATTGTACGAACGGGTATGCCAAATGGATAGTGGGAAAATTAATTTTTATTCAGAGTTGATTTATACTTATTTTCGTTTGAATTATGTACAAAATTATTTAAAAAATGATATATTAACCCTTTTAGATTATTAAAAAAAAAAACCGGAATAGACATGAATAATATATGAGAAACTGTAAAACAGATTGTTAGAGAAAAGCAACACTAGCAACAAATTGTAATATGTTCTTTGGTAAAAAAAAATAGTTACTGGGACACTAGGTTTATAAGTCCCAAAAATTTATTCCCGTTCAGACACATGGCCCAGTGGATAAAATCGTTGGTTGAAGTAATCCAATGACTTGACCCAAAGAGTTGTGTGTTCAATACCTGACCACAGCAGTGGTGAACAAAAACTTGGAGAGTTTAGTTACATAAAGGGTAATAACTGAAACTGAGGTATCCAGAAAAAGGCATGGCACGTGGAACTAGAACAATCTACCTATGTGAACGAAATAAAGGCTACGGTTCGAAATTCTAAAAGAATTCCAAAAGAAGGTCGGAGTGTACAATATGACGACAAAAATGAGGACAACTGTCCGAATAATTTAAATAGTCTAAATAGTTACAATACCTCATCTCAGAAATATATACAGATATTAAAAATAATGTAGATTGTTACAATACCTCATCTTAGAAATATAGACAGATATTAAAAATCGGGAAACAAGAAATATGTTACGTTTTTATATTAAATTCTTTAACAGTATGATATTCCTTGATGCATTCCACCCGCAATGGAGTTGATCGTTTACACGAAGCTGTTAATATTTTTAGCCTATTTTCTTTCGGATAAGTATACAAATATGGCATTTTTGGGGTTCGTCCTTACAGATCTAGGTGTAAGCAAACACTTCAGAAAGTGAATGAATCCGAGTAAACACTAGACTTATAATCCTAGAGTTATCAATTAGCCATTTAGATTCGAATCGGAAAGTGCGACACATTGGGATAAAAAGATATATTCTAAAAGCTTAGCAAAGTATTAAGAAACAGAGAAAGCTCATTAGAAACTGAGCTGTTATGTAGCATTAGTCCTCATTTATGGCAGTAAATCTCCTCACAGATGAAAAGACTTGGAGTAACAGAAATGTGTTTCTACAGAAGCATCAGACTAGATATGGTAGTTCAATGCTAGGACGAATGTTATATTTATCAATGTGTAAAATGGATTCTGACGAGAATTGTCTGGTACGACACAGTGAACCAACTTTCCTAGCAGCAGACCTAACAATCGATTTAATATAATCTTTCCAATTGATGTCAATGGAAAACATTAGCCTGAGAAGATTCAATGAGGGAACCTATGTTATATTGGTGATAAAATGATTGAGGTGTAAGTGACTGAAACCAAGATGTCAGGTCAGGACAAATAACATTGCAGATTCTTTATATTTTATCAAGAATCTTTAAATACATAATAAAAGCAGCAGAACTAATGTGACAGTAATATTCAATGTATGGATGAATGAGAGACTTATAAATGTATAAGATATATTCTGGCAAGAAAAATAGTCTAGTATGACACAGTGAACCAACTTTCCTAGCAGTAGATCTAGCAATTGATTCAATATAATCTTCCCACTTCATTATCCCAAGAAGATGCAATGAGTCACTTTCCTGGATGTTAGCACCAACCATGCTGATGGAAGGCAGAACAGAATGTTTCTGTAATAATTCTTTTACTTTAGACCAATAACATTGCAGAGTTTTCTTTGGATTTTGTTAAGAAGCTCTAAATACATAGCAGAATCACCAGACCAGATGTGGCAGCAATATTTAATGCATGGATGAATGATAGACTTATAAGATAGATCCTGACGAGAAAAAAATGTCTAGCACGACACAGTGAACCAACTTTCCTAGCAGCAGACCTAGCAATTGATTCAATGTAAGCACTCACTTCCTCTCCTGGGGGTTTATACCAGCCGTGCCGATGGAAATCAGAAAGGTTTTGTAAGGTGATTAAAAGATAGTAGTTTTATTTTGGATGTGTTAAAACTTAGAAACTATTCCTTGCTCCAGTTAATAATATATTGCAGTTCATTTTCGAGGAGCGCTGCCAGTTTTACTGTGTCGGGGCGTTGGACTTACTATTATGACAAAAGCAAATAGCTGTGTCACCTGCATACAAACATAGGAACTGGTGACAACAGGAAGGTCGTTGGTGAAGATAGGAAACAACGTAGGCATAGATCCTACCTGCATTAATATGAAATGATCTAGAAAATTGACCGTTCAACCCGACCTTCATCATACGATTTAAGAGCCATTGGATGAAGCCAAATATTTGTCTAGAGAAACCATAACCCATGAGCTTGTGGAGAAACAACGTCGCTTCAACTTCAAGATATCTAAAGCCACAGTTCGAGCCTCTTAAAGCCCGTATCCGGTAAATTGCTCGAAATCAATTACTCGGCAGTAAATTGCTCGAAATCAATTACTCTACAGTAAATTGCTCGAAATCAAATACTCGACAGTAAATTGCTCGAAATCAATTACTCGGCAGTAAATTGCTCGAAATCAATTACACG